CTGGGAGACAAATGAATAGAAATGCTACATGGCCAGCGGAAAAGGGCGGACACCAGCAGTGACAGACCTGGGAGACAAATGAATAGAAATGCTACATGGCCAGCGGAAAAGGGCGGACACCAGCAGTGACAGACCTGGGAGACAAATGAATAGACACGCTACATGGCCAGCGGAAAAGGGCGGACACCAGCAGTGACACAAAGGGCGGACACATCTTAAGAAAGAATTGAGAACCCCTAACAGTAACCTGTTCGGGGAAAAAGGTCAATGCCTAAATTCATGTGTGCAGTCTACAACCAATCAACGCTGGCCAAAACATCTACCCGCTCTCCTTCCAGCTGGAAGCTGCAACAGAACGAATGTGCATAGGCATAGGTTTGTGTACCTCTTCTGGCGATGCACTTTATGCGCAATTTGTACTGTACTTGAGGCCAGAGGGGGTGAACGAAAGCTAGCCGGGCTTCCGGTGGTCTGCTGCTGGTGCTGCTGCTGCTGGTGCTGCTGCTGCCGCTGCTGCGCTGGGCGCTGCTGCGCTGGGTGCTCTGCAGGCGCCGGGTCGTCTGCTGCTGCTGCTGCTGCTGGCGCTGGGTGGTCTGCTGCGGCTGCTGCTGCCGCGGCGTTGGGTATGCTGCTGCTGCTGCTGCTGCTGCCGCCGCTGGGTGGTCTGCTGCTGCTGCTGGCGCTGCTGCTGCTGCTGCTGCCGCTGCTGCGCTGGGCGCTGCAGATGCTTGGTGTGCTGCAGCTCCTTGGTGGTCCCGCTCACCGCGCGCAGGGGGGAGTCGAACCGCGGGGGGGGGGGGGGGGGGGTCCATAAGATTGATTTAATCAATTATTTGAGGTTTCTGAGGTGCGTCCACCCCGTCACTTAACTTGCTAAAGCAAGAGCAACTCCAGCTAGCTAAGGCTAGCTTTCGTGATATCCTACAAAACTGGTGTCCGCAGACCCTCCAGCGATGGTTGGGGACTTGCAGGCTAGAGGCCTCCTTAAACAGTGTACAGTGATCCCAGATTCATGTTCCTGCGCTGGCTGAATTTTTGTGTTGAGGTTGTGGTAATTGCAAATTGTTGGTGCCCAGTGACCCTGCTGTTCTTGATGCGTCTAAGGTTTCAGTCTTTCTACAGCCATCAGTCTGTGACGTGGATTATTGGCAGCACATTCCATGTGGCAGATGCTCGCGCAATTTGCAAAAACACATTTGAAGGCAAAGTGACAAGTAATAGTGTGTGGCATCATCGAAAGGGTAGCGGGCCCGGAACTCCTCGTAGTTGACCCCTGCACAGTACAGAACAATGTGCGATTTCCAAACCAGGCGTCCAACATTCTGCCAGTGACAGGACACTTTTGCAACCCTGCACGCACAAAACATGCAATTTTCACTTCCATTTATAAAGTCAACGGCCTCCTCCTGAGCCGGCCGGCGGAGCTCTGGGCCCCCCTAAAGGGCACAGCCTCCCATCACCACGGCAAGCAAACTCACAAAATCAATCTGTGTATGACCGGCTGTCAAACCCCTTCTCCCAAAAGTGTCGATGTTGCAAACCTGGTGGGAGGCCCGCTTCTAAATCTCCTATATACTTGAACTATAGTAAAAACACGTGCATTTTACATTAACAAGGTCAATTACACCAGCATTGATCCCAAGTA